TAAGTGTCCGTCTGTCCACTGGTAGCTATGAGGGGGGCAGATGCTCACGCAGGAGCTGCCATGATGTGCACTGGCCATCCTATATAATAAAGCCTAATATACTACGTGTCTGACTGTTCGACCAGTCACTATGATGCGCACTGACCATCAGGGGGCAGACGCTCTGACCAGTAGGTTAGCTTGTTGCTGGGGTCCGGTTGATTGGGACTGGGCGAGATGGCCAGACATGCACTGGAGCCAACCTCCCATGGTCCCTCCCTGGCCTCTAAAATATTTCTAATTAATTTCCTTTCAATGTGCATGAATTCGTGCACCGGACCTATAGTTTAAAAATAAACACCACAGACCTAGCACTGACGAACCAATACTCGGCTTCCCCCAAGTGGGACACAGGCCCTGCCATCACCCCAGGAGCGACACCCCACCAAATCACAGCCAACGCTACCAAGACCCCATAGCGCAAAATGCGGCCCACAGCCCAGCCCAGCCTGGAAATGGTGGCTGTGTGCACTGGGTAATGACGTCACATAGTACGTCTTCCTCTCCCTAGCGACTAGCATCCTCTTCAGCTGAGGAACCCAACTTGCTTTATAGCCAGGTGCAAACATAACCAAATGTTTGTAAAGCATTTTCCCGTGCCTCATCTCATTTGATCCTCACAGAAGTTCTAGAGTTGGTAGATAGGAGACTCAGTAGAATCCTATTTTCTTTTCATTAGCAATACGTGAATAGCGATACTAAAATGTTTTTTCTAATTCAGACACTTAGTATATTAGGCTTATATAGGATGGCCAGTGCACATCATGGCAGCTCCTGCGTTGAGCATCTGTCCCCAGGTGGTCAGTGCACGTCATGGTTACCAGTCGGACAGACGGACACTTAGCCTTTCAATGTGCATGAATCTGTGCACTGGGACACTAATCTTTTATAAATACTAGTATGAGAAAGCAAGTGTTTAAAATCAAATACTGTACTAATCTATATATATACTAGAGGCTCGTTGCACGAAGATTCGCGCAATAGGTCTTCCTTCCCCTGGCTGTCAGCACCGGTTTTCCTCTGGCACCCGGGACCCAGGCCTTTGGTCCGGCTGCAGCAGTGAGGCTTGGCTTCTCCGCTCTGGCTGCAGCGAAGAAGCCAAGCCTCTTCAGTCTTCAGTAATCTTCAGTCGTCTTCAGTCTTTGCTCTGCACCTGCATATGCAAATTAACCACCATCTTTGTTTGGTTAATTTGCATACTCACCCTGATTGGCTGGTGGGCATAGCGGAGTGACCCCAATTTGCATGTTTCTCTTTTATTAGTGTAGATAAAAGGCTAATATGCAAATTGTTCCCTCCGGAGTTCGACCAGGAGTTTGATCACTCACCATGATGTGTGTTGACCACCAGGGGCCGGTGTGGAACAAAAGGTGGCAGCCGGGGAAGGCCCTAATCGGCCCTGATGGCTGGCCAGGCCTAGGGACCCTACCCATGTATGAATTTCGTGCACCAGGCCTCTAGTATACTATAAAGTCAGAAAACAGTTAAATGCTCCTAAGAATAGACAGACTTGTTTGATGTAATTAGCACAGACTGGGGAATGAAACCTGCAACCTGGGTATGTGCCCTGACCAGGAATCAAACCTGTGACCCTTCTGTGCATGGGAGGACGTTCTAACCACTGCCCTGGGTGAGAGCTTGTCTTTTAAAAACTAAGCAAACCTTTGAAGCTGCTTTTTGAAATCTAAGATTTATAAAAAATGTTACTTTCCAATTCTAAATTAGAAATTAATTTTATTCCCTGATTTGTTAGCTATGACTACTGTACTAATTAGTTTACTTCAGTATGTTACTTAAATTGATGATGGCTAATTTAGTATTTATGTGCCATTTTACATTTGCTAACTACAATACATATTTGGAGGTAATCTATTACTGAAAGGACTTTCACCCTCAAATCAGTATGTTGAATGGTTAAATAGCTATAAAAACAAAAATTATATCTTATTTTCAAAGAAAAAGGAAGACTTGAAATTTAATATTATTGTATAAACTAAGCATGACTGGGAAAGGTGATTTTTCCTGCTATGTTGGCCACAGGACTAATCCCCCACAATTTATATGTTCAAACACTTCAGAAGAGGGCTGAGAGGCCCTCCAAATTCTCATTTAAAAAAAGGTACTTTAATGCCTGGCTGGTGTGGCTCAGAGGTTGAGTGTCAATCCATCCAGGAACCAAGAGAGGTTGCTGATTCAATTTCCAGGTAGGCATATGCCCAGGTGGTGGGCTCGATCCTTAGTAGGGGGCATGCAGGAGGCAGCCGATCTGTGATGTTTCTCTATTCCTTTCCCTTCTCTCTCTAAAAATGAAGAAAAACACACACACACACACACACACACACATATATATATATATGTATTAATTTATTTGATGACTTAATGAGCATGTGGTCTAACTGGTCTGTTGCTGCTTGTAACTGCTCCTTCATGCATTTCTAGGTGGTAAATATCTCATAGTTTATGTCTCACAATTACAGATACTGAATCATAACAAAAGTGCAAAGTGTACCGTGTGTGTTTTCCACCTACAATTATTATATTCATGTAAGAAAAAACTAATGAAATAGCATTCATAACAAGATTTAGTAAAAAATGACCATTCTGCCGAAACCAGTTTGGCTCAGTGGATAGAGTGCCGGCCTGCGGACTGAAAGGTCCCAGGTTCGATTCCAGTCAAGGGCATGTACCTTGGTTGCGGGCACATCCCCAGTAGGAGATGTGCAGGAGGCAGCTGATCGATGTTTCTCTCTCATCGATGTTTCTAACTCTCTCTCTCCCTTCCTCTCTGTAAAAAATCAATAAAATATATATATTTTTAAAAAAATGACCATTCTGACTTGATTCTGCTTTATAGAAGAAAGAGCAAAAGACCATTCCACAAAGATTGATTGAGCTCCAAAGTAACAGGTACAGGTAAGTGCCACGGAAAGAACAGAAAATAAGACGAAGTCCCTGCCTTCAAGGGCTTACATTTTAACTTGACATTTTCCCTTTAAGAAAATGTAAGTGGGGAAAATCTCTCTACTTTTGGTAAACAGAATTTACCACTGTTAGCTCATGAAAAAGAAAAATCAATTTACAGATTTGGACAACCATGGTAATTTATTTATTTTTCAAAATATATTTTATTGATTTTTTACAGAGAGGAAGGGAGTGGGACAGAGAGTCAGAAACATGGATGAGAGAGAAACATCGATCAGCTGCCTCCTGCATACCCCCCACTGGGGATGTGCCCGCAACCACGGTACATGCCCTTGACTGGAATCGAACCTGGGACCTTTCAGTTCGCAGGCCGACGCTCTATCCACTGAGCCAAACCGGTCAGGGCAACCATGGTAATTTAAAATTCTGCTGTGGTAAAAAATAACATTTTACCACATAAAACATGATTAATATAACGACAATTATATTACGATAATTTTCAACTATCAATATTTGAGGCCAGAGAGGGAGGGGAAAAGAAAAAAAAACATAAAATCTGGTCTAAGATTTCAGAAAGTGAGACATTCCCATGACTTTAATTTTATACAATTATAAAGCAGATATCTATCATATATGTTTCAGTGGCTTTGTGTTTAGAAGATGACAACCAGTTTTATTTTTATTGAACATCAGTGTTATACATCATACAAAAAATACTTTGCTCTTTAGTTTTTTTTTTGTTTTTTTTTAAAATATATTTTATTGATTTTTTACAGAGAGGAAGGGAGAGAGATAGTTAGAAACATCGATGGGAGAGAAACATCAATCAGCTGCCTCCTGCACATCTCCCACTGGGGATGTGCCCGCAACCCAGGTACATGCCCTTGACCAGAATCGAACCTGGGACCCTTCAGTCCGCAGGCCGACGCTCTATCCACTGAGCCAAACCGGTTTCGGCATGCTCTTTAGTTTATGAAGATAAATAATAAGGAATAAATCTGTAGTCTTCTTTTAAACCCAGGTAGCTTGGAGAACAGTCATCTCATTTATGCCTGATTTTTATAGCTGGCTCTCACGCATTGAGGACCTAAGAAGAAAAAGAATGGCATTTTGCTGATAATTTATCATATCTCTTTCACTCCAAAGTGTTCTTTATTAGGTACCGGCAATAATTGTTGATTGCTTTCTCCTTCTTGGCATTTCAGATCCTTCGACCTTGCCCTTCACAATGCCAATACTGAAATTTAAAAATAGGCAATGATAGGCTTTTTTATATAGTAATCACTTATTTTGTCAATTAGAGATAAGCTCTGTAAAGGCAGATACTTAGTCATGAAGTATTTGCTGCAGCACTATAGGTTATAGCTGAAGATAGACTAACTAAAAATAAAAATGAGTGCCTGCTCTAAAACTAAGAAGATACATAGTTAAAACTTATAGAAATTGTTTTGCAATGAAATAACTTTCTAAATATTTTCCTTCAATATGATTTTGATATTTGTAGCACCTACCCTATCTCCTTACCTCTTTAAGAAAGCAACTTAGGTAGCAAATTATCCACCTTATAAGTATTGAGTATCTATAGTATGTGAAACATTGTCCAAAGATAGTAAGCAGTGTGCTTAGTAGACCTAAATGACAATCAAAAGAAATCCAAACTAGGTAATCTCAGATGGAAAGAGATTGTTGTGATTTCCTTATGTTTTATATTTGGATTTTAAATCCTTTTCTTATATTTAAATCCCCATTTAAATTCTCTGTTCTTTGCTAGTTACCAGTGTGTACTCAGTTACAAAAATTAAAATTAGCACCTATTATTTTGAGTTTGTTATTTTCAATGTTCTTTTCTACCACACTTCAAAGTTTAAAAGGTATACAGTTCTTATATGAATTGATAGTCTTTATAGGAGCACCTTTAGATCTTAAAAGCC